CTGCATCCGATTTGCGTCGTACTACACTCTGCAACCAATCAGAAAACAGGATTTCGATGGATTTTGCTTCGTATCATCGGAATCCTGTTTTCTGATTGGTTACAGAGCGTCATACGACGCAAATCGAATGCAGGGTGAATCCAGCATAAGGGCCTCTTTCACTAACTCCGATTAACTTAATCGGTCGATTAGTCCATCGGAATTAACCAATCTCATTTGTCACTTTATTTGACGATAGACGAATCTCAACCGTGCACAGCGTATATATTCTGTTCCAATTGAATTGTGCACAACGTTAAGCTGGAAACACAATAGACACAGGTAATAGGCACAGACAACAGGGAATAACGAGCCGTCCAATCAGAGCTCTGGGATATAATATCGAACTTATACCTCAAAGCTCTGATTGGACGGCTCGTTATTCCCTGTTGCCTGTGCGGCCTGTGCCTATTGCCTGTGTCTATTGTGTTTCCAGCTTTAAGCGGGGAGCACAGACTCTTGCATAACACTTAACACATGAGGCATAAGAAATTGAACCAACCAGAGTTCTCTATTACATGGAAGGGAAAGAAACGGAGAACTTCGATTGGTACATATTCTTATGCATTACGTGTTATGCGTTATGCAAGAGTCTGTGCTCCCCGCTTTACACTTTATGCATTCCTGTGTACGTTTGTGTTGAGATGTGTTAAGCAATTGGAAAGCACTTATTTTAGATCTGAAAGAATACATCAGTAGCAGCTAGTGTTCAGTAAACTGTTGAGTTCGTTGAACGCAGTTATTTCTCTGCTCAACACTGACAATTGGACGCGTTCAAACCGGACAAAATGGCTAGCCTGCTCGCCGAGCAATTAAATGTGATTGGTTTGGTCTATAAGGAACAACCAATCATATTCATTTGCTTGGCGAGCAGGTAACCGCTTCGCCGACTTCAACACGCCCATTTTTTCTAGAGTGTGAACGCCGTGACCGGTGGATTCGGATGGATTGGAGACTGGAGTGGAGGTATGTAGCTGTGAACAGCTCCGGGTAGAGCTGGGCAGAGCTGTGGGTAGTTGGTGGCATGGTACGGTTTTTCGTGTGGGTGTCGCATTCCAGGCTTTCCTCCTCAATCTTGAAGCAAAATTGCAGTAACTGTATAAATCGTACGTTTGGGATTCAAGGTAGACGACGGTTGCGATGCTCACACGTGACGCGTAAAGACCTTTTACGCCGTCACGAGCGAAACGGATGTTCGTTATAGACACGTTGTACGGACTACATTTTGCTCGAAAGCTCGACGACCGGGTGGCGGCGACGACGACGATTAGGACAACGACGTCCCCCCCCACCCCGCCGATCGATCTGACTGATTTTTGCGATCCGGTCACCGAAAACTTCCATCATTCCGTCAATAACCGTGTGCCGACCCGTAGGGTGGCGATCGTCCGATAAGGTACGTATCCGTTGGAGCAGCCTGGAGCAGCCTCTTGCAGAATCTTTGCTGTATCACTACTGGGTAGCGAAGAGAGCAAGGGAAAGAATAACCATTATATGGATAGTCACGTGGAAATCTTTATTTGCGGACGATGACGCATAGATTTCTTGTTTCGCTTTCTTCGCGCTTTGCCCTTATCGGGAAGGAACCTCCACGATAATTGCGTAACGATACGCAGGTCGAGCCCTGTTGAAATCGGTTGATTTCTGTTTACTCGGATCGTTCAGTTCAAAGTTCACTGATTAATCAAAGTTAACTGACGTTTTGCAAAGTTAATTGACACTTCCCTGGTTGTTCTCGTAATCACTTTAATTATGTCTCGCTTTGGAGGGAAGAATGCTGTTCTTATTGTTCCTGTGCTCTTTCATCTACATATATCACTTGATAATGCATTGATGTTTGTATATATTATATTTCCCAAAGTATTGTTAAATAAAAGTTGAATGTTACAATTACTTGTTGAAACATTGAGATAAAATATAGATGTTGTATACTTTATACTTTCATAAAAACTAAAACTATTATTTTTTTAAATGGAAAATAACTATTATTTTTGAATGATTATTACAGATTGCTTTAGAATTTGTTATATTTAAAATATTTTTACATGTTTTATGTTTAAAATCTACTTAAAATTTATATGTAATAATAAATCATATTATTTACATATAATCATTCAAAAGTCTGGATATTTCTATTACAGAATTCTATAATATAACATAAATGCAAGAATTGGTAATCTCAGCATTAAATCATTGATTGAAATAATAAATATATGTGAAAATTTAATACATTTGTTAAATTTTGCTTAAGAAAAATATTGATGAATATAGAAACAAATATACATACAAAGATTATAGATATGTCAAAGTTTACAAGAAATGCTTGACTAATGCTGTTTTGCTTCAATTATAAACAATAAGAGGATGAGATTTCTTGCAATATCGAGGATAACTTCCTTTTAACACTTTATTTACTGTGCGTTTAAGGTTTTTACATTTGTATTTATAATTTTGCTTATCACAGCTTAGATACATTCAATTGAATTCGAATCCAGTGATTGAAGAGGGGAATGCAATGATAAGCTGTATCGTAAAGAAACCATTCTTTAACAACGCAAGCAGTCAGTCATTATTTTACTAAAGCTTATTCAAAGTTTATTTTAAATTGAGATTTTAGAATGAAATTTGTATTTATATTTAAAAAGTATTTTTTAATTAATGTTAGATGTATATTTTTGTGAGGATACTTTTATTTCATTTTTTTCATAATTTTTCTTGAAAATACGCTATGTTTTTGTGAAAAAATTCAGGAGAAAATTTTGTTTTTATGAAAATATAAACAATCCTATAATTATTTACATTTTGTGATTCTTTTTTAATTTATATGTAACTTTGGAATATAAATAAGCAATTTTTTAAACAATAATGTTTCAAAAAATATTAAATTTTTTTAATTTACACAAACTTCAAAATAGTAATAATTCAAAATGTTGTAATTTCTAAAAATAAATAGAATCTATATATAAATTTAGAAATATTTTGTTTTTTAGACATATACTTTTTTTTTCACTCAATGATAAAGTAAAGAATAAATCTCGAATATGGAAGAGAGATTAATTTTATTAATCTAATTCATTTTATAATTTTTACGTATATTTTTTTATGAACTAATTATTATTGAAGCATATAAATCGTATATTATTGTTATTAAAGCATGTTATCCTTATAACTTATGTGAAAACTTTTAATCTATAACGATGATAAGACATGTTTTTCAAATTCTCTCGTTTGTTTCGCACCACGTGTTTTAACATCAATGTCTGTAGAATGGCCAGTAGTCGTTTACTTATATCTTGAGACTTGTACTATCTTACTCGGACCAGTATTTCCTCTTCAAACCGGCGGAAGCCGTTGTTATTGTTATGTAAGAACTCTCCTTTGTATGAGTTTGCTTGATGAAACAAGAAATTGTTAATCTCAACTATACAACTTTTATGTACATATAATTTAATATTATCATATGTTTTTCAGTATTAGGAAGTAAAAATATAAGTTGCTTCTGTTTACTTTATGAGAACATGTATGAAAAAGTTTCTAGCATGTACAAAACAATATTTCAAAGGACAACTTTATAATTTAATATTTATTGTGGATGTATACTTTATATTCATATTAAAATTCAATAAAAGGCACTTCTGCACACTTTATTCTAGAATTATGCAATCCTAAGATATTTATCTGAGAAATGTATATATAAGTTTTTGTATCGTGTGTATTATTCCACAATAATATTTATTTTCTTTCAATAAATTTTCGAAAAGTTATTTTTAACAATATATTAAAGATACATATTTTTTTATATGCAATGTGTCAATCATTGATATAGTTCTTCGAATCGATAATCAATCATGTTACATAGATTAATATGACGGTATTTCCCGCCCTCAACTGGAGTTCGACTCTTGAGTAACATTTATATTATCCTTCCAGTCTAATTCGGCTTCCTGATGAACCATCTTGGTTGTCAGATAATTTTGTATATAAGTAGACTTGGTACAACACGCAAAGACGGGCTGATACTACTTATCTTCTTCATATAAATAATGGCCCAAATAATAGTCTCGAGTCTCAGTATCATTTTGATTTTCTGTCTGTTCGGATCTCATTAAACGAAGTTTTCACGTCTACGTAATATACGTATAATATAACGTTACGTTCCGAATAGTTCGCGGAACGTTTTTATTTTACTTTTGTTTTGTATACATATATATGAGACGCAATAGAGGAGTCTCTAAAATTTAAGAACATTTTCAAAACTTCTAAACGGTGACATAATTAATTTTTCTGCTGTGTATATAAAAAAACGAGAATTACTTCTCTTCAGGTAGGATCAGATTCTATTTCATTAAGTTAAAGTCTAATGTAATTATTAGGTATAAAATGCATAATATGTATAGCAAATAGCTACAATAAAAAAATAGAATTGATTTTCATATACTTATTAAAAACATGTAAAAGAATGGGCAAATTAAATTAAAAATTTGATATCTTAATTAAATTAATAAAAAATTAATAGCAACCTTTTTTTCTTATGATTCATAAATCGTTTTAATGTAACAGAAAAAAAACAGGCTTTGATAAAATTAAGATAACCAGATAAGATAAAATTCTAGCTAGTATATGATAAAAATGTTTAGTACGCTTATAATTTATGAACATTTATTTAAACAGTTACTTTCTCCTTTATTAATAAAGAATTTTTTTGTTATATTTACTGGTTTACATTTAGCATCTTTTCTTTAGAAATTAAATATAACAGTATTTTAAATGTGACGTCTTTTATACGATAAATCTTGTAACATTATTCAGCTAACAGAAATTATTTTTTGTTCTTTGCAGGGTTCTATCTGCGATAGACTGGTCGACCAGTCTGTTCGTGGGTGTTTGAATAACTGCGGCAACTGGAAGTTGACCCTGAATGCAGAGCCCCCGTGGCTTTGCTAGCACCCCCACAGTGATTTTGTCTTAATCCACTTCCTCACGACTCACCCAATTAGCATTGACAGCTGCCTCGTATGTTTTTGTTAAACTAAATTCATTAAAGTTTGCAACAGAAAAGTTGATATTTACTTTTTACGCTTATATCTAATATGTAATAATGTTTATTTGACTTTTAGTTTGCTGCCTAGCACCTACAGAGTACTAATCAATTCGATCAAATTCAATCAACATGAAGGTAACAAATCTAGACGAACGTATCCATGTCTTGGATAGCGAGTCCAATGTTATGACCGTTATCAAAAACATTGCAATGAGTGGTTTACAAGAAGAAGCTTTTTATGTATTGGATATAGGAGATATTGTACAAAAGCATAAAATCTGGAAAGAAAAATTGCCACGAGTTGAACCCTACTATGGTAAGTCATTAATAATTGAAATTTATTTCATATGATGTACGGTTACATATAGAAATTTGTTTTTTCCAGCTGTAAAATGTAATGACAATTTGATTGTAATCGAAGTATTAGCGGCCCTTGGTATCAATTTTGATTGTGCATCTAAGGTAAGATCAAATATTAAATATATCTTTTATTATGGAGAGAGATGCACATTAACAGGTACATTTTGTAAAAAAAATATAATATATATTTTTACTTTGCAGAATGAAATAAACAAAGTGTTAAGCTTTGGTGTAGAGTCTTCAAGAATTATTTTTGCTAATCCGGCCAAACCGGCTTCACATATTCGTCATGCTGCTGCAGTAGGTGTGGAAACTATGACAGTAGATAATGAAAGTGAGCTGCACAAAATTAAGAAACTTTTCCCAACGGCCAAGGTAATTGCACGTTATATAATTTCAGCACACATACTGCATATCTTTTTCGAATACAATGATAATTTTACTTTGATTGTATCATTGCAATTCCTTATCTGTGTAGATTGTTTTACGAATTCGTTGCGATGCGGAAATGGCTCAGTGTCCGCTTGGCATGAAATTTGGTTGTGATCCAATACATGAGGCTCCTAATCTTTTACATCTTGCATATAACTTGGGTCTTAACGTAGTAGGCTTCAGTTTCCATGTTGGTTCTGGATGTCAAGATCCACCGGTATTTTATCGCGCTATTCATCATTGCAAATTACTATTCGACATGGCTACCGATTTCGGCTTTAAGCCGTATCTCTTGGATCTTGGTGGAGGTTATCCAGGCAACAAAGGCACAAGCATCGACAAAATTGCCGAGATTATTAACAAAGCTCTTGATGAATACTTCAACAGTAAGTTGTTTTTTTCTCATTAGTTATGCCAGTATAATACTTTGGTTTAGACATTTTAGGCATTTTAATAAAAAACTTTTTAGCTGATGCTGTTCACGTGATTGCTGAACCGGGCCGCTTTTATGTTGCATCTGCATTTACATTAGCAACAAGTATTCATAGCAAACGTTCTATACGCGGAGATGAAAATTCCAGCGCAATTACGCACAATATGTATTATATCAACGACGGTGTTTATGGATCATTCAATTGTCTGCTGTACGATCATCAGCATGTGACTCCTATTCCTTTGAAGGTAAGGTGTTTTTATTTAAATGCAGTACTAATGTAATATTTTTCTGCTCTTTTTAAATCAATATCTATGTCGGTCTTTAGAATGGCTGTGGAAAAATGATTCCTTCGAGCGTATGGGGTCCAACATGTGACGGACTGGACAAAATTGTTGAGAACATTATGTTGAATGACATGGAACTTGGCGAGTGGATGATTTTTGAAAATATGGGAGCCTACACTCTGCCCGTTGCTTCACCATTTAATGGTTTTCCCATTCCTAAAGTTCATATCGTGGCTGATGAAGACATTTGGTAAGAAAATCACATTAATTATGAATTTTTCGTTGATTTGTTTCTTCTTTTTAATACATGAAATAATTTTATATTGATATTCCTCGTAGGCTTTTATTAAAGGATGCTCTGCCTTTAACTGAAGACCACTTTGTTATTGGCAATACACCAGCTAATCTACGACTCGGATTAGATATTGATGGAAATGATATCGATCCATGGAGGGATACTCATCCAATGGAGTTGGCACCGCCTGAAATATTAACGGACACTTCTAATACTCCGTCACATTTTATTTTTGAGTATGTCGAGGCGCCACTAAACTAACTTGATTACTTCACAAATTATTTGAAAATACTTTATGCATTTCAAAACAAACGTATTCAATTGTTGTATGAAATAATTTCATTTCTTTTTAATGAAAAAATATTAAATACGTAAATATTTTTAAAAGGTATAATCACTTATCGTTTATATTTTCTAAAATTCTAAAATTCTGAAATATTACGTAATATAATTTCATACACAAAAATGTATCTACAGACAAGTTGTGTCCTAAAACAAGACAATAAATATTTTATAGACAAATTCTTTGTAACATTTTAAGACGAAAAATCTAATACAAAAATGTTAATGCTACGAGTGTAAAAGTGCTGAATTTTGTTTTACTGTCAAAGACATGAAGTTTGAGAAAGAACTTTTATATTGTCCATCTTGCCACCCTTAAACGCGCGAAAATCTGGCTCCGTCATTCGTAATTTTTAAAGTCTTCCCATATGAAAACTATTACTGCCACGACATTTTTATATTATTTAGATTTTTTTGTCTTAAAATATTACAAAAAATCCGTCTTTAAAATATTTGTCATAAGTTTTGTGACACCCTGTATTATATATGTATTGATTTTAAGCGTTTTATAGTTACATGCACTCTACTTTTTTCTCAGACAATATTTTGAAATTACTTCTGTTTATTTTAATAATAATTAGAAATTACAAATAAAGTAGAATGCTAAAAAAGTGGCTCCTCTGACATTACTTTTGAAGATAAATATTCGTGAATGTCAGGTATTTCTATCGCATAATGCATGAAAATATTATATTGTAGTAGATATTTACGTAGCATACGTGTCTCCATGTATGTTATCTGTATAATGGAGCGTGTTATAGCTTCCACATAATATTATGATTTTTAAAATTCGATATTTCGAAAGAGAACTGCTTATAAAAATTATCTTACTCATTTTTTTTCTGCAGTTTTTCAATGCATTTAACACAAACCAAAGCTATAATTCGTTCTAGCATAGATTCTAGCATACACAAATGGAGAAAACGTAATTTTTGACAATAGAACGATTTGTCACGCTTTCTATATATGATAAAGGAATGAGGCGACCATCAACGATCATACGTATCGGAGCATTGATTTAAATGTGCTACGATTTAGTTTTGAATATTCGAGATAAGTGAATTATTTCTTAAAAGACTTGGGCCTATTACTCGGGGCAAGTTAACGTATTTCGATTTATTTTTTCTTAATTAATATTTTAAAGTACTATAAAAGAAAAAGAAGATTAGAGAATTTATAAAGAATTGACTGTACAACATGTGTATATTATACAAACACACAAACGCAATCTCTGCAATACTTGCACTAAATATAAACTCTGTAGAATTGCTAGGAACTTTACGGCATTGAGGCAGCTGTCACTAAACCGAAGAAAATTAATTTTTTATCATTACTCTTATTATATATTATTAATATTGTAATTATTATTATTGTCAATTGAATCATGATTAATCGAATAATAAACATAATAAAATATAAGATCAATATGTACAATTTCAGGCATATTATATTATCTTATTAATCATTTACCTTAGTAAGTCCTATGAGTATAAATTAAGTATAACAAATGTATGTGAGAAGCGTTGAGGTAATTCTTCTATTTTTATTAATACTAAGCTGGAAATGTTGCATCTTGGATGAATTGTTTCCATGTAAAAAAATTCAGTATCTTTTATTTGATCGTAAGTAAGGTTAACGAATAATTTAGTTCTTTCCAAATTTATCTCTGGAGGATGCGAGTTTTCTTTTCGCATTTTCTTCTATACCCTGTAGGCACATAACTTCATTTAATATTAAATAATATTTTAGGCATATTTTCAGAATATTAAACGTAATATTTGAAGAAGATTTTACTGAAATTATATAATATTAAATAATATTCTCGAAATATTAATGGATGGTTACATGTCAACTCCTGATAATATTACATGATTATTAAAAGTAACATTATTTAGTGTTACTGTAATATTGTATGAATATTAAAAAGTATCATAACATTTACTTTAATTTGTAAAATTGTTACACCGTTTCAATTTAAGTATATGTTTAAAGATTGAAAATAATTTTGGCGTGCAGTTGTAGGACTAGATATGTATGTAAAATCACATCGAAACGTTATTTAAGCACAAGACGCAGCATAGATTGATAAGATATTTTTGTTACTGGATTGTGAATTCAAACTGCACTAATATAAAAATAATTAATATTAATAAATATTTTAATAATACTTCAGAGTTGTTAAAGGAAATATACCAAGAATATTTAACAAGTGGACATATAATATCCATAGAATACTCTCTCTCATAATCTTAAAAAATATACAATATTCTCAAAATAATATAATAACTTATTTTAATTTTTTAAATAATATTTATATAATATATTCTAGGAATTTTATTTTGTGCCTATAGGGTAGATAATATATCTATTTCGTATACATCATTTTTCTTTTGTTACAGAAGAGGAACGATATAAATGAGATTTGCTAGCGAAGTAAACAAGATCTTGCAGGTGTTTTTAATATGAGGATCAGCGTAAGCATTATATAGAGTGTTCAAAAAAGGTGATATCAAATTTTAGGAATATGTAGTATTCATGAAAACAAACTGATAAGTTTTAATAAGCAATGCTCCAAAAATAATTTATGTCCAAGTTATAAAGCATTTTCTATTGTAATGAATAATTCGTTTATTTTGAGTATGTAAACGTATTTACGCGCTCGTATACATTCGTCCTTCACAAACTTCTAAGGTTGAAAGTAATGAATATCGTCAGCGTTTGGTGTTTATTAAACACATGCTTAACATCAGTTGATACATTGGATTCAACTGACATAGAAAATTGAATACTGTTGATATTTTATTAACAAACATGAAATAAATCTGCAACGAAATCTTTGAACATGTTCGATTTTCAACGAGAAAACTTGTTGAAACTGAATTGTGTGATGAAATGAGGGCACATTGAACATCTATTGTAGATTAAATTTATTTTTTGCTTTATAACTTGAAAATTAATGGTTTTTATAATACTGCTTATTAAAACTTTTAGGTTTGTTTTCGCGAATACTACATATTCTTAAAGTTTCGTATCACCTTTTTTAAACACCCTGTATATATACCCTTTCAATAATTCTTCCGGTACGTTTTTTTTTTTCGATCATTCCATTGAGTCTTGTATCATATGCCGTGTATGTCACGTAATTTTTAATATAAATATACAGCCACACGTTGAATTCAACCGAAGGGAAATAAAAATGTGTAATATTAATACGGAAAGTCATTCGATCGAGCGCAATATAATATACTTAACATTATGTTGTAATTTTTTATTGCAATAAGAAGATAATATTGATCGCCTGATCACACAACGCTTGAACTCGTCATGGCAACGTAACGATATCTTACTGATGAATTTTGGAAAGATATTGAACGAACTAATCTAAGACTTGTTAGCTGTTTGCAGGGGGAGAGATTGCTAAAACGATCATTGATATATATATATATATATATATAAAAAATATGTACATGTATATACAGAATGTCTCAGTTTATTTTAAACTCATCTTTTTTTAATTAAGGTACAAAAAAATTGTTCTAAGATCGAAAAAGATTTCGGCGCGCGAATAAAAGTAGAACGGTTTCGAGGGGGACATATTATTTTGGTCATGTTACTTTTTGTTCTAGGTAGAGGCGTTTAAAAGATATGAAGATCACTTTCACTTTTTAAATGAAATATATAATTTTTTTTCATACAATATGATTCTTTTAATTCTGCATATATATATATAAGAGTACTAAAGATAGGATAAAAGCACTAGATGTGGATCAGGCGCTAGTTCGGAATTATTTTTTATATTTCAATAATTAGTATTTTCTATTAAATGTACATATGTATGTATACATATCACAAGATTCTTTAGCATTTATTTTATCTCTTTCAAGTCAATTGAATCTTGGCTGCGTTCCGTTTCACGCATGATGCGCACGCCCGATGGAGGTAATCCCGATTGATCACGGCTCAATTGGACACCACCAATCACAGCGACCAGGTGCCTAGGAACTTTGTAGACTCAAGCGCTGTGAGTGGCTCGTGTCCAACTGAGTGCCACCCACTGTTTTACACGCCTACCGACAGTTGTCGGTGTCGTTGCGCAGCTTTTTCACCATATAAGAGTCTCAGCACAATAAAGAGTTCTCTACATAGAAGTCGTAGACGGTCGTGGAGTCTTAAGTCGTAGGAAACCAACCAATCACAATCAAATATAAGGAGAATACTCGATTGGAATTGGTCAGTTTCCTACGACTTAAGACTCCACGACTGTCTACGACTTCTATGTAGAAGACCCTTTAATGATCGTAACCGAGTCGCGAATCGTGAGTCGTAGTTATATGTCAACGCACAATGTTTTGGCTGATACACTGTGCTAGAGTCCCTAGAGAGTAGAGAGTCTGGACATACAGCGGAAGTCCTCTCAAAATGGAGGAATATGTGTGTACACTTGGTGTG